AGGTGCCCAAAATCAGGGCAAAAAAGGAGAGGGGATCCCCAACCAGGGCAAAAAAGGAGAAGGTGCCCAAAATCAGGGCAAAAAAGGAGAGGGGACCCCCAACCAGGGCAAAAAAGCAGAAGGTGCCCAAAATCAGGGCAAAAAAGTGGAGGGGACCCCTAGCCAGGGCAAAAAGGTGGAAGGGGCCCAGAACCAGAACAGAAAGGCAGAGGGTACCCAAAATCAGGGCAAAAAGGTAGAAGGGACCCCCACCCAGGTCAAGAAGATGGAAGGGGCTCCCAACCAGGGCAAAAAGGCAGAAGGAGCCCCCAGCCAGGGCAAAAAGATAGAGGGGGCCGCCAACCAGGGCAAAAAGGCAGAGGGGAGTCCCAACCAGAGCAAAAAGGCCGAGGGGGCCCAGAACCAGGGCAAAAAGGCTGAGGGGGCCCAGAACCAGGGCAAAAAGGTTGAGGGGGCCCAGAACCAGGGCAAAAAGGCAGAGGCGACCCCCAATCAGGGCAAAAAAGCTGAGGGGGTCCAGAACCAGGGCAAAAGGGCTGAGGGGGCCCAGAAGCAGGGCAAAAAGGCTGAGGGGACCCAGAACCAGGGCAAAAAGGCTGAGGGGGCCCAGAACCAGGACAAAAAGGCTGAGGGGGCCCAGAACCAGGGCAGAAAGGCTGAGGGGGCCCAGAACCAGGGCAAAAAGGCAGAGGGGGCCCAGAATCAGGGTAAAAAGGCAGATTCGGTTGCCAGTCAGGGCACAAAAGCAGAGAGTGTTGTGAACCAGGGGAAGAAAGCAGATGGAGCCACCCGTCAAGGCAAAAAGGCAGAGGGAACCACAAACCAGGGCAAAAAGGGGGAAGCAGCTGCCAATCAGGTCAAAAAGGCCGAGTCAGTGTCTATCCAGGACAAAAATCCAGATATGATCCAGAGCCAGGTGGCACCAAAGCAAGAGGCTCCTTCAAAGAAGAAGTCAAAGAAGAAAGGTGAGCCCGGTAAGTTACTCTGCTTTCTTTATAACTTGGAGGGAAAAACTATCTTTCCCTTGGAGATGCCACCTGTATTAGTTAGTTATTGCCACAACAAGGCTGCATAACAAACATCCCCGATTTCAGTGGCTTACAGCAGCACTCATTTATTCTTGCTCATGCTTTAGTGGGTTGGCCCAAGGTTGGCTGATCTGGGTTGTCTCGGCAGGGTGGCTGTGCTTCAAGCTGTGGTTTAATAGGGCTGCCTCCTTGCTGCAAGGTGAGCTCAGGTATGTTCACATGTGATCTGGCGCCCAGCTGAGACTTCAGTGACTCTAGGTTGGAGGCCCTTCGCATGGTACTGCAGAGGTATGAAAGAATGCCTAGTGTGCAAGCATATTTCAGACCAGCATCCTACTGGCCAGAGCAAGTCATGTGACTGAGCCTGAGTCAGGGGCTGGAAAGTGCTCTTTCTACAGTGAGAAGAACTGCAGAGTAACATGGGAAAAGGTGTGTGTTCAAGGAGAGGTAGGGAGTAAGGAACAGTATTTCCATCCAGCACAAAATCTAGAACAGTCCATGTCTTGCCAAGTCTTTCTTGGATGTCTGGCTGCATTCTGCTGGCCTGTTCTGTGTTCTTACCTCGCCTGGTGCTGTGGTATGGGTTTACTCATTTGTATGTGTGTATTGACTGAATCATGGTAAGATCATGTGTTTAAGGAGAAATGGCATCTCTTGATACACTCCCTTCCCCAGGTTTTCTTCTTCCCTGCCCTCCACCCCAGTCACTTAATGACTAGGAGATAGCGCATTCGTTTTCCTTTATCCTTTTGGTGTGTGATACTATAGAAATTGAGCCAGGAAGTTCCTGCTTCATGCTCATCGCTCATTTCGATACAGTGGAAGCTTTTTTTTTTTTTTCTTTCAGTATTTGAATAGCCGTTAGTTGATCTGGAAGGTTAACTGAATTTATCGTGACAAACATGTATCTTGGGGTCTGAAATGCTTGGATCCGGGCTAGACAGCACTGGGCTCTGTGTTTTATCCAGGTTTCCCTCTCATGCCACTTTGAGAAGCTATATCACCTTCTCTCACGTTTTCTCCTCTCCCAACTTCTGAGGTAGCATTTGCTCAGCCATCCCCCTCTTAGCCCACAGGTGGCTGAGGGCTCCTGCTGGGGTCATGGGTCAGCTCCCTGGGCCCCACCAGGTCAGGCTGACCTCTCAGGCCCTTCCAAAGGCTGGAGGGAGGGCAAACTGCCCTTTCCTTAGGGGCACAAGGGGATTCTGGTGACACTAAGGCAGGGAGGGCTGGCTGTTCCTGGTTCTCCCACGTGTGGAGTAGAGCTTCCTGCCTGTTTGGCCACAGAACCTTGCATAGTGTCAGCAGTTTGAAATGAGCTATGTTGTTGGGAAGGAAGGTAAAATTGTCCTAAGCTACAGGTAATAAAGAACATTCTTAGCAGTAAGACCTGCATATGGTTGTGTAAGCCTACACAACAGCTTGATTGAGGTGGTATAAAAGAAAATTTTAACAAAGATATACGGTGTTCCAGGATAAGAAGTTTAAATATTACATGTAAAATGAAAGTTATCCCCAAATTAATTTATTGGTTTACCATTATTCTAGCCAAAATTTCAGTGGGGTGTTTTTCCCCCTGGCTTAACAAAACAATTCTAAAATTCCATCTAGAGGAAAACATAGGTAAGAATATTGAATAGATTTTTTAAGTGGCTTTTGGAAGGCCTGGTGTCTGAACATATTCCCAAACTGTTGTAATTAAAAGTAGGGTGCAGACCGAGGCCAGCCAAGTCCGGGGAATAGCATGGTCCTGAAACAGGATCTGTCACACCAGGAACTCAAATGAGGGACGCGTCATATTTCAGTGGAGAAGGAAAGACGCTTAGTGAATGATCTTGGGCAGTGTGTTCAAGATTCGGGAAAGTCTGTTCAGACCCTCCAGCACTCATCTCTGTCTAGATACTTAAGTTTTGAATGAATTAGGTTTAACTCAAAAGGAAATTATGCCTTAGAATAGATGAAAACCAGAAAAAACCAAACCAATTGCCATCGAGTCGATTCCGACTTATAGCAACCCTATAGGACAGAGTAGAACTGCCCCCATAGGGTTTCCAAGGAGCGGCTGGTGGATTTGAACTGCTGACCTTTTGTTTAGCAGCCAGTGCTTACTTACTGTGCCACCAGGGCTCCTGAACAGATGAAAGACAGCCAGAATTAATATCGATCGGCATGGATGGCAGGAGGTGGCCACGCCTGACGGTGCAATGAAGGGACATGAAGGCATCACCCAACAGCTGCCGTGAGACTTTGAGAACCGGACTGAAACTAAAAGACAAGCATATGGGGGAAATATTGGCAACTGAGATGATACCTAAAAAGCTAATTTCTGTATTCTTCAGAGTGTCTGGAAGGTCTGGACACATGGGGAAGACTCTTGATTGTTCTTTATTTTTCATTCTGCTAGATTTGCTCTGTCATAATCTCAACGCTGCTCTCCTGTGGTCAGTGTGTAAAGGCGTCTGTGAGGCTGCGTACACTGAGACCACTTCCCACCTGAGCAACTCCCTGAAGATAGTAAGATCAGTGGTGTTATGTCCTCGAACTTCAGACATTCTGCAAGAGAGATCTTAAAAATGATTTTAGAAAACCAGCTGAGATTTACCCTAGTGCAGCGCCTCTCAAAGTTTTAGGTGCACACAAAACACCTGGGGGGGTCTTGTTAAAATGTAAGTTCTGATTGTGCAGGCCTGAGGAGGGCCTGAGATGCCGCATGTCAGCCAGCTCCTGGGAGGTGCTGGTGCTGCTGGTCCACAGACCACTCTTGGGTGGTAGGACCTAGGAGACACATTTTCATATAGCTAGTAAATGATCTTGTAAAACTCACATTAAAACAAATAAAAAGCTTCATTAAAAAGTATTACCGTAAACATGGATATGGTGTAAAAAAAGGTGACAGTGTGAATTGGATGATCCTTTTGAAAAGCGATATAGCAATAGCACAATGTATTAAGAGGCTTTGTTGTTGTGAGCTGCCATCAAGTCGGCCCCTGACTGATGGTGACCCCATGCACAACAGAACGAAACGCTGCCCAATCCTGTACCATCCCTATGGTCAGTGGCGATTGAACTGTTGTGATCCATGGGTTTTCACTGGCTGATTTTGGGAAGCAGATCGCCAGGCCTTTCTTCCTAGTGTGTCTTAGTCTGGAAACTCCCCTGAAACCTGTTCAGCATCATAGCAACACGCAAGCCTCCACTGACAGACACACGTGGTGGCTGTGCGTGAGGCGCATTGGCTGGGATCTAAAGCCTAAAGGGGCTGATAGTTTTTCTTCTACAGCTGGGGATCTCATCTGAGGAAATAATGCAAACTATGGAAACCAGGTCTGTGTGCCAAGCTGCTTGTGATTTTTTTTTTTTTTTTAATATTTAACATCGACAACAGCCTTCAAGCCACAACCCTCGGGCCACAGTGCTAGATTCGGTGCCCACGCACGCGTTGTGCAGCTTCTCGCAGTGATGAGAGGGTGTGATTTTTAGTTGAGAGAAATGCGAGAAGACATTGCCCGTGGAAAGAAATATCCACGGTATGATTTTTAGTGGAAAACGAAGGATACTAAATTGTATACCGTGATAACAGCGTAAGACAAAGATGTTAGATAATGATGATAGTGTAAAAAATAACATCAGGAAATATGCCAAAAGGAGAGCTTCTGTTGTTTTCTGATGTTTTTTCTTCAGTGTAGTAATATTTTATCATTCAAGCTAAAGAGCAACCCTGGAGAAGGCCCTGGACCTAAGGACATGACAGCACCCCCTTTGTTGGGCACTCTTCTTGCCTCGGTGCTGTCCGTGGCAGGGCTGCACTGGACAGGGATCCCAGTGAGCTGTCTGTCCAAGTACATAATTTTGTATTAATATCTTTTATTTATGACTTTTAGAGATTATCGTAGAGCGTAAAATTGACTCTTAATATCTTAGATATTCTATTCATCATTTCAAAAAACAAAGCAATAACCTAACTTAATTTCAGATATTAAGTTTGAACAGTCCAAAAAGATGCCTGGAGGGCAGGTGTGGGTGAAAATGCCGGCCTCTTCCTGTGTCCAGGGAACTCCTGTGCACAGCACAACCTGTCCAACCTCTGCTGTGGATTCGTCTCTGTGGTTCTGGGGTGAAATTCAGAGAAGGACCTGGAGAGCAAGAGCTGCGGGGGACAGACCCAAGGGGATGAGGGCATTCCCTCTAATGGAACAGGCTGGGAGGGGCCACATGGGACTGTCGACAAGGGATGATAATAGACTTGGTGGCCAGGTCCAGAACCTTAGCCACAGTGAGGGGACCCTACATGATTCTCAAGCAACATAAGCTCAGGGCAAACAGAAGGAAGCAGCGTGATCCTGGAGGGAGTGGTGACTCACGGGCTTAGAGCGTGGTCAGGCCTGAAGACCGCATACTCCCCACTGACCATCATAAACATTCAACCCACTCTTTCCCATAGGCGTGGAAGCGGGCATTGGTAAGGAAGGCTCCATAACCCATTGCCATCTACTGGATTCCGACTCACAGTGACCTTATAGGACAGAGTAGAACTGCCCCATAGGGTTTCTAAGGAGCAGCTGGTGGATTCAAACTCAAACCTTTTGGTTGGCAGCTGAGCTCTTAACCACTGCACCACTAGGGCTCATATTTACCCACAAAAGTCCTTTACGTCTTAATGTGTTGAAAGTGCTGTGCTCACTGGTTGGTGGAGGTCCTTGCTGGGGAAGCAGTGCCTGTGTGGGAAGGAACATTCAGACTTATGGATTATACAGCTCCCCAGCTCCCAGCAGTGGATCTCCCCACCTACCCCTCACCCCCACCCCGGCCCCAGCCTCCTGCAACAGGGTTAGAGTAGGGATGTGGGGTACCTGTTAAGCCAGGGTACTGGAGGAAGGAAGGGGCCAACTTAAGATTCAGTTCACCACTTACATTAGCCACATTTCAAGTGCTCAGTAGCCACACGT